AACTTAGGGCATGTTCTCTTACGTTGAAATAAAGTTCAGTTCAGTTCAGTTTAGTTCAGTTTCTAATTTCCTTCTCTTATAAAATATTCATTTCAGTTCAGCTCAATTCAGTTTAGTTCAGTTCAGTTCAGTTCAGCTCAGCTCAGCTCAGTTTAGTTTAGTTTAGTTTAGTTCAGTTCAGTTCAGTTCTGTTCAGCTGAGTTCAGTAAATGAGAACAGGCCCTTAATACGAATTACATGTAAGATCAGATAAGTTATAATCATTGTACAATTAGCTCAATTTACACTTATAATAATTTTCAATAAGTTACGATAAGTCAAATTTAGACTACCATACAATAACCGTAGCCAACTAATATGAGACCTCAATACAACCCAACAAAACGAAATTATTAGTCTCTCATTTGTCTGTTTTCAATTTTCACCCTGAAATAATTTTGATAATTGATAATATTCCGTAAAATGAAATTCTTAAAAATAAAAATAAAATAATAAAAAAAAAAAGTATGAAGTATTTCTTAGGGAGGGAAACAATTAAATTAAGAGGTGCTAGAAATAAGCTGTAAAATGATGGACATGAAAAAAAAAATAGTAAAAAAAAATAAAAATAAAGATTGAATGATGGAATATTTCTTAGTCTTAATTAATTATGAAGAAGAGAAAACAGAGGTGTTGTTGGTTAAGGAAATGTCAGACACACGTGCACACATACATACGTTACATAATACATAAAACATACACTCTTCTTCTTCTCTAATTTTCTCTCTCCTCCTCATTTGCGCAGAGTAGCAGCTACTGCAGCTGTTTTGATAATTACGTCCCTAATCTTATTTACCCTTCTCTTCTCTTCTTCAATGTGGTCCTCTTTTTTTTTTCTTTTTTTTTTTTTTTTTTTTTCTTCTACTTTACGGTTTCCTCTAGTTATTTTGTGTATCCTTTCTTTCTTTTCTTTTACCAATAATCCAACTTTACTTTGCGTGATTCTTTTCTTCTTACTTTTCTACTTTCTTTTTTTACTTCTTACCGCATCAACTATTCAATTGAGTGATTTTTGAATTACCTGTTTATTTATTTATTTATTATTTTTTTTTCACCCGTTGGACTAATCCGGATTTGAGGATTAGTTTTGGATGGTTAGGTTCCAGTCTCTCTCAATTGTTGTTGCGGGGATCGAATACGAGTCCTCCCTATGAAGTGTAATCCCTATTACCACTACACCAACAATCAATTGGTTGAATCATATGTTATAAAATAAAAGTAGATTAGAGAAAATCATCCATGTTTGTTAAATTAATTGAATCACCTAACGTTACACTCAATTTTGAATCAAATATGACTATCATGTTGCAATGAAAATCTTAAATTGAATTTGGCCAAAATTGGACTCAAGTTTGATTTGAAAAAACCCTTACTTGAGCAATGTGACTCGAAATTTATACTTGAAGAAAATAACATCAATGATGATACTACACATCCGTCCTTCAAGTAGGCTATAAAAATATTATTCTCTATAATCAAAGTAGGTCCGATAAGCCTAGCTAATTAACATTTTACTAAATTTAATTTCTTTTTGTCAAATTAGTTAATTTCTACCTAACTAATAAATTTACTTTAAGTGAATACTATGTAAATAATAAGATGATGACAATAAAGCCATAGAGAATGGAGAAGAATTACCTTAAATTGAAAGCTTAATTAAAGAATCTAAAAATTGTTGAATTGTTGGTACACAATTGTGTGGATCAGACTCTATTGCAATTAAGTTCATGTGTCACGAGTCTAATTAGAAATTGTTACCTTTCTTTTTTGTAGAGTAAAAACAACGACCCTAATCGCTTATCAACCCTTGCGGATTTTTTGGTCCAGTATTTATGAGTTAAACACTTTGAGAGTGAGAGGAGAAGGGTAAGAGATCCCTACCCTCAAATTATTGACCAAACTTAGGGCATTTTCTAATAGACTGAAATCAGCTGAACTGAACTGAATATTTTATAAAAGAAGCAAATTAAGAGCTGAACTAAACTAAAAATAAACGTATGAGAACATGCCCTTACTTGTATGATCATATTTTATAAGCTTTATTCAGAATATGCCACCACTAACTTAGGGCCTGTTCTCATTGACTGAACTCAGCCGAACTGAACTTAACTGATCTGAATATTTTATAAGAGAAGAAAATTAAGAGCTGAACTGAACTGAAAATAAACGTATGAGAACAGGCCCTTAATTATTACATAGTCACATGTCACATTTTCATTATAGGCCTTTTTCTCTTCACTGAAAAAAAATAAAAAATAAAAAAATTAGTACAATAGAATTAGTTAAATAAGTTCACTACAATTCAGCAAAAGTAATCAATTCAATAAAAATAATTTAGTTAAATACAAGTAAGGTGAAGAAAATAAGGCCCTAAAATCAAATTTAATTATATTAATGTTTACTCCTTTTGATTCAAAATAAACATTTCAACCTTTTGTATGATTTAAATCATTTTGATTAAAGTTTGCACATTATATATAAGATTAAAACTAATTATATGTGTGCATGTATTAATTATTTTATACTATTTTTTTTTTTTTACATTTATACTTATTAATGATGAAACATATTTATATTATAAGTTTTATGTTAGCAAATATGTCAATCAAATTGAGACACTTATTTTAATACTAATAGAGTAAATATTATTATCTTTTTCTCGTCTTTACTTGATAACCTATCACTGCTATTCCCGGTCCTCTTTTAGCAAAATTGCCAAGAAATAACCAGTCATAAAAAGGTTAAACTAAAATTTTGATAATAGCACTTCACTTCATAATAAAATAATATATTGGTCCATTGTAATAATATTATAGCACTCATGCATATTCCATAATGCAATAGCAAATAGGAACTATACAAAACAGTTAAATGTCTTGATTGTAGTCATCAAAAGCATTGGTGACAAATCGTTTTGCAAGGGCAAAAACAAAACTTTATTACTTTCTTCTAGTTTACTCCTCTTCTTTGGACCTTTAATTCCAACCAAAAAGGGGTGAAAATTGCTAAATTCAAGATATGATTAGACTTGTATCAACTGTTCTTCTCAGACTCAAGGCAACTCATTTCCTCTTCACGTCAGTTCAATCTACACATTTGGTCTTGTCTTACTGGCATCATGTAAACAACATAGAAGTAGTAATAATTTAGACAATTAAAGATAATTTTATTAATTAAATATAAATACATTGACTACTCAAAATCATAAAAATTATTTAAATATAAATATAAATACTTTTGTCTAACAATAAATCTAAATCTAAATCTATACCAATACCAATACCTATTTATATTTTATATATTATTGTTATATTACACATATATTGTACATATAGTGTACATACGGTGATCCATATAAGTTTGTTTATCATAATTTAGAATATCGAAGTCGCATATTATTTTGTCATATTTAATTAATTTAATTTAAAATTTTTGACTGTTTATTATGTTAATTTTTAAATGACTTTATATGTGGTGTTTGCTGTTAGGAAATTAGGGTGTAATTGTACTTGATTAACGCGGAACAAGTCAATGAAATTAAGAACGAGATAAACAATAAAGAAGATAAACAAAGAACACAAGGATTTACGTGGTTCGGTCAAAATAGACCTACATCCACGGGTGGGGGATTCGAGAGCTTCTCCACTATAATGGAGAAAGAAACAAGAGAATAATACAAGGAGTCTTAAATATAATGGCTCGAAAGGTATGATCTAATTGATCAACTAAAGGGCCCTTTTATAACACAAGGAAACCCTAATAAAACCCTAAGATTGTTCCCCAAGTATACTCAAATAGCCGTCATAGAAAAGATATAATTTTAGGAAATATTCCATAAATTATCCTAGAATAACCTAACTACCGAGCTATAGCTCGGCAGCTAACTCATGCCTACCGCAAGTCCTCATAGGGCCGAGCTATAGCTCACTCGCATAGAGCTATAGCTCGCAGCCTCGTTGCAAATTTCTAGCTTCGTCGGGGTTTTGTAAAACGGTCATAACTTTCTCGTTTCTTATCGGAATTGGGCATATGACCTATATTTGGAAAGCTCTTGAACCAGGCTATCACCTCCAACTTGAATCACCTCAAAATCAGTTGTAGTTTGAGAGATATAAGCGTTCAAAGTCAGCCCTATTAGATTTCGAGTCACAATTTAACATTTGCGTTAATGAAACAAACTAATATCTAACTTTATCAAATATCTTTATTAATTAATTACATCATTCATATTTATGTTGGTTAGGCATACCTTACATTTATCATTTTTTACTAATGCTTTTTTTTAATATTAATATTTACAAAATTATTATTTTATAAATATATTGTGACAAATTAATGAGACAGAGGTGGTGGAGTAGTGATATTACTCTCCATTATACTCAGAACCCCTAAGAAATAATGATCAACTTAATTTATAAAACTCAAGGAAGATTCAAAAAGTTATCATTAATACATATTAATCTCATTTTAATTTACTTCATATTTTTGGATTGATGTTCAATATCCTATGTTTAAACTCTATTTTCTTAATTATATATGACAAGAAGCAAAAAATAATACGTAAACAAGTGTTATGAGTCGAATTCTTAAGCACAAAGGTAGGACGAAGTTCGCAAGCTGCTTATATAAATACTCCATAATATTTAAAAAAAATAAAATAATTAATTCAGCTTATTAATGTATAAATCATCATAGTTTTAATAAAATAAATTCAAATTATTCAAATATCCCAGCATAATGTTTTCCTAAAGAAAAGAAGTTTTATTTTTTTTTCTTGAAAAATTGTTTGGATATAAGACAAATTAATTTTGATAAACAAAAATAAGACAAATTTGATCATATGGAACTAATGCTCTACTTACCCCTCCCTCACGGTAAATGCAATTAATCCCCACATTAACCGGTAAATGCCGGTAAAAAGTAAAGTACAACTCCTAATACGGACTACAAATCACTCATAATACTTTTTTAAAAAATTATTTAAAATATGGTTTATTGACTCTTTTGAGCAAGTAACTTTTCTTAGATATAATCAGACAAACCTTCTAAAAATCTATTCCAGGAAAATAAAAAAGCCCACTACTCACTCTTAAACTAAGATTTTTTTTTTTATTTTTTTATTTCTTCAATTATTTTAATAATTTATTCAAGATTTAAACAAATTCACTCCTTTTTATTAAGATAAAATCCCTCATTTCCTTTCCATCTCTCTCACTCTAACCCTCCTCCTTCTCTCTCCTCTCCCCCTCCCCCCAACAAAAAAAAAAAAACTCAAACTTTTAATCACTCAAAACAATTTTTAGTTCAGAAATTAACAAATTCTAATTTCTGAAACCAAAAAAGAAAAACCAATGATGGAATTCGAGGAAGAGCATGAAGAGGAAGAGGAGGAGGAAGAAGAAGAATCAGAAATGGCGATAACTCCAACTTTCAAGAAACAACACCACCCAACAGCCGCTGTTAGATACAGAGAATGCTTGAAAAATCACGCAATTGGAATCGGCGGTAACGCCGTAGACGGCTGCGGTGAGTTTCTCCCTGCCGGCGCTGAAGGCAGCATCGATGCGTTCCGGTGCGCAGCGTGTAGCTGCCACCGGAACTTCCATCGTAAGGAATACAACAACTCAATCGTACCACCGCAGCTTGCGATGTACGCTCCTCGGCCTCATCATCATCAGCATCCTCATCAGGTATACCAAATTTATCCTTATAGTCGTAACAATACAGGTGGGTATCTCCACGTGTCGGGAGGGCAACGCCCGTTGGCGTTGCCGTCTCCGACATCGGGTGGTCCCCACAATAACCACCACCAGGAGGAGAGTGGTGGTGGTGGAGATCAAGGGATGGGTGGTGGTGGTGGTGGGAATGGGAATGTAACGACACGTGTCGGTGGAGGGGGTACAATGATGGATATAAGTGGAGGTAGTACGATGTTGTCGGGAGGAAGTAATACTACTAGTTCGGGGAAGAAGAGGTTTAGGACTAAGTTTACACCTGAACAAAAGGATAAGATGTTGGATTTAGCTGAGCGACTTGGTTGGAGGATTCAAAAGCAAGATGAAGAATTAGTGCATCAATTTTGCAATGAAACTGGTATTAAACGTCATGTTCTTAAGGTTTGGATGCATAATAACAAACTTACTCTTGGTAAGAAAACCCTAATTACTACTCCCCCTCCTCCTTAAACTTAACAACCCTTATTAGCTTTGCTATCTTCCTTGTTGCTGTTCTTGTTGTTAGATTACTCGAGCGAGGCGAGGCCGGGCTTTGTATGTGCCCGGCCTCGCTTGCTTGCTCTTGTTCTAGTGGTGTATGATTTTATGATCACTCATTTCCTGAAAAAAAAAAAGGGATTGGAGTAGAAATTTAAGTTAATTAGCTGTTCTAGGTTCTAGCTAGTTGGTAATGTAGCTAGGTTTGTATTGTGTAATATTTTGTTGTGTTTTCTTTTAATGAAGTAGTAGTGATCTAATCTTTGTTCTTAAACATTAAGATTCGCAATTTAATTAGTGTATGTGATGGTTGATCATTATCTTGTACTTGAATTCTTCATAAATGTATGTAATTTGCATTAAACATGCTTACATTATTTACGAGTATTATTTTTCTATAATGACGTACTAATAATAATTGTTTGGTACTTATATAACATGGATGATGACCATGTAATTGCAATGTCCTTGTCCAAGTTTTTTTTTTTCCCTTTGAAATCATGTTTGATTCCATAAATATAAATCTCTCTTCTTTCTATTCAACAATAGGTAGTGACTATATATAGTAGTACTACTATAACAAAGGTTTTTATTGCCTCTATTTGTTAGTTCTTTCCATGGGTGTGTGGTGTTGTAGTGTACGTTCTCTCAGTTATTACAATGGTACTCTTTTGCTGAATCCTTGGTTTTGGTTTCATAATTGAGCATTTTGCATTTACTATTAGTCAAGTACTGGGGGAGGGGGGCTGGTTGTTTCATAATCCCGAGGATCCGCAATGTTTTGCTGATCTTAACTACCACAAGTCTCTAAAGTATCCGTTGAAATGTTGGTGTACGACTGTAAGACTGCACCATAGTGTTACAAGTGTCAAAATAATTAGTTACCAATTCAAACACATTTAGAAACATTGAAAAATGAGATTCGATTGTTTTATTGATCTTCGAGATCAACCAGGATTTACTCTCTCATTAAGTTTCGGTTGAATCATTTGAATTACCACCACAAGAATGCACCCATTGTTACAAGTGTGTGAATAATTAGTCCCGTCGTCCCTCCCCTCCCCTCCCCCGACCCGAACACACACACACGCAATGCACCATCAAAAATGTGAAATTGGATTGTTTTGTTGATCATCGAGATCAACTAGGATTTACTCTCTCGTTAAGTTTCCTATGAGTCGTTTGACTTAACACTACAAGAATTAATTAGCACACACCAATATTGTTACAAGTATTGTTGGAATCAGCTACCATATATGCATAAAATGTACCACCCGAAATATGTGATTGAATTGTTTTAAGATCAACTAAGATTTACCCTTAACTAGAGTGTTGGGTGAAATGTCTAAATTACAATTAATGCTGCTGTCACTAAAACTGAAACTTTTTGTTTTTTTAGCTTGCTATGTCATGGTTTTCACCTCTTGTCATTTTATTTTATTAATTTTGGTAACTACTCATGGCAGTTATTTCTTCATTTTTATCATGGTCCGTTCAATTCAGCTTAATTTCAGTTTAGTTTAGTTTAGTTTAGTTCCTAATTTGATAATTTTCTTCTATCATAAACAATTCAATTCAGTTATGTTAAATCAGAACAAACCCTAAGATTATTATAAATAAAAATAATAAATATGTTCCAACACCAAATAATGCAAGATTTTAGTGGTGGTATGATTGAGCCAGCAGCTCCCTTCTGAGAGTACCTGGGGAATGCAAGTTAAGTGTTTCAATGGTCTTATTGACATTGTCAGCTACTATACTGTTTTCCTTCTTTTTTTCCCTTTTTTTTTTTTTTTTTTTAATACGGAGTAAAATATAATACTATTCATATAATAGTAGATAATTATATTACCATTAGTTTATTCATATGTTTCTGTTACATTTCTCTTGGAAAAGAGGAGCTGTTTTAAGCTGCAACCAACAAGCAACATTTTTATATATTCACCACTAATCCAAATGTACGTACTGTTTTTTTGTTCACCTTCGAGAAGGTCGATAGATCCGAAGCCTTAATTTTTTAACATAATGCCTCTACTCGAAATCTCGTGTTTAAACAATACATGTCGGCAATTAATAAGCCTAATCTCCAAATAGGGGTAGAACTAAAGACCGGATATCAAATCCCGTCTACATACCCAGTTGGCGCGTTGCTGTAATAAACGGAGGAAAAACGCATGAGTGCTACGGAACAAGAGGCGTGTCACCCAGACACCAACATTTATAAAAATCCAAACAGCAATCCATCAACTTGAAAAAAGATTCACTTTTCTTTCATACATAAATTCCCAGCAACAAAAACATCTATCCATATCATTCATAATAATTCTGGCAGCTTTACCTATCTTTGCCGTTGCCTTGTTAAATTCGACAATTTATGTTTCACATATTTCAAATAATAGATAGTTCAATTCTATTTTTGTTTTTTTCTCTTTTGTTGCTAATATGGATTTTTATGTTTAAATTTTTAATTTTTTTTGAAATTTTTTGGCTGTTTCACAAATTTCAATTAAAGCTGCATATTGCATGTTATTGAACAAGTGGTCCTGACAATTGTTGTCATGATTTTTGCTTAAGACTTTGGAAGGGTCATTTATTAAAGGATGGTCCTTTTTTGTGCAATTTTTTTACAGTCCAAGGTATACAAATGAGGCTAATTCTCAGTGAGTTATTTACTTCCTATGTTATTAATTTAATAGTGTCATGCCCTACCTAAATCAAACTAAAATGAAGTCCGACTAGAAAAAAGAAAAATAAATAATCGTCATCCCATCCTTGAACGAGTTCTGCATCTAAACACTAATAGGGTTGGATACACGTAACCTTATCGTTGTAAGTTAGCTAATCGTGGCACCTAAATCAAATACACTAACACGTCATTTGACCCAGTAGATTTTGCCTTTTGGTAAGGATTATTATAGCAGTTCATTCAAGAGTTCGGGCTAAATTGGTGGACAAAAATGAAACTATGGTAAAATCTAATGAAAACGGAATGAAGTTCATCACATGACATGGTATCTTATCTTAATATCTACTAGCATGCTACTAAGCTAGTAATCTAATTGAATGTTTGGCCATTAAATAGATCACATGTAACTTATAGTATAATCTCTAGTAGTAGTACTTTAATTTCATGACGTTTTCTCTGTGACTTCTAGTAGCAATTATTGTACTCAAAACATTGTAAGCCATTTCAATGTGTTTCAATTTGTGGTTTATGTTGTTCGTTTGACTTTAGAGGGTTGATACACAATACACACATCTCATTATCTTCGCAAGTGTATCACGGACATTTTTTAGTTAATCTATGATCGATGTAGGCTAATAGCCATATAAGGGTATTTTTCGAATGGCCTAAATAAATACTTGGTACAACGATGATCTTGAGATAAACCTCGCAAATGGATAAGAGTAGATCCTTGAAAGGTTATTATCAATGAATGAAATAACCATTTTTGGGTACATCTTGGATGATTTTAAACTTAAGTAGCTAGTTAGCTTAAATTGTCCATAGTTTCACGGTTTTAACATATATGTATGAATTATATGATTGCTGTTTATTATATTTTATATGTAAATTGTACCTAAACATGAATTATTGGCCTCTCAGAAATTTAGATAGCCAAGATAGGGGTATTCTTCATAGTTAAGGCATCTATTTCATTCTCAAATGCTAAATTTAGACTTTTCATTTTTAATTAATATGGATCCATCTACAAGATGAAAGGCTAAAAAAAAAATTTGTAACACAATTTTGAAAGTACTACTTTAATTTGTCACTTACCAACATTTGCATAATTGCAAGTGTAAGTGTAATTGTGTAAATGTGTTATGCATTATATATATAAATCGGACATCTCATAAGTACTAACATTATTAATTAAGCAAGAACTTTCAACTCTTTCTCCAAGTAATCGGTAATCTGAATTGAAAAAAGAAAACAAGAGAGAAAGGGTCTGTTCTCGATTGACTGAACTGAGCTGAATTGAATTGAACCTATTAGAGCTGAAATGAACTGAACTGAACTTATTAGAGCTGAACTGAACTGTTTATTTTATAAGAAAAGGAAATTAAGAGCTAAACTGAACTGAACTGAACTTATTAGAGTTGAAGTAAACTGAAATAATTGTATCAGAACATGCCCAAAGTTGGGATTATTGCTGAATTATTAAAAGTTGAGATTATTTATAGTTAGTCGGGCAAAGTTGGAATTATTAAACTGTATTTTTGCAATAAAATATTGTTAGTACCAATTCGTAGGTTATCAAAAGAAGAATAGTAATTGATTGTGTTAGACAATGCTTAATGTTTCCAACGAACAACCACCTTATACTGTAAGAACATGTTAAAGATTTGATAATCCGAAGTCATTAAAGCTTGCTAATTTGCTAACCATAAACAGTATTACTGTAATTGCTAGATTTGGAATAATTATTCTACTGGTAATACTCCTCCCTCCCGTATTAATTTAACCACTACTTTTCACTTTTTAAGATTGAACTTGATGATAATTAATATTGCAAATTTAAAGTTGTATTTAACACACAATACATAGCTATCAATTAAGTACATACTCCGTGTATTACTTTGTATGTTTACGGTGTATATTCTAATGATATTTCATAATACGGGATAAAGTGGTGTACGTAAATAATATAAAAACAGGGGAAGTATTTTCCTTTTGTCTCAAACCTCTATCAATCAAACACTTCATAGATCCATATTATGAGTAACAAACTAGCTTGAATTTATGTAAAAACTTTTATATACATCCGGGAATAAGATGCACCCAAATATGCATATTCTTCAAATGAGTAATAATCACTCTTTAATCACCAAAACGAGCAAAAATATTCTTCATCGTGTATCCGAATGTGTATAACTAGAGCTGTCAAAAGCTGACCCGACCCGAAATACCGACCCTAACCCTAACCTGTATGAACCCGAAAAAAATGGTGACCCGAACCCGACCTGAAACCAACCCTAGACCCGAGTTGACCCGAGTATTTGAGACCCGAACCCGACCATGACCTGACCTAGAAAGGACCCGACCCGAATGTTACCCGTAAATTATTGACCTGAACCGAACCCGACTCGAACCCGAGAATGACCCAAACCCGATTTAACCCGTCAAAACCCGAATTCAACCCGACCTGTTACTAACCCGACCCGAGGTCAACCCGACCCATTCCTAACCCGACTCGAATTTAAACCCGACCTGTTACAAACCCGACCCGAAATCAACCCGACCCGTTCCTAACCCGACTCGAATTTAAACCCGTCCTGTTACAACCCCGACCCCAAATCAACCTGACTTGTTATTGACCCGACACAAATTCAACCCGACTTGTTATTGACCTGACCCGAATTTAAACTCAAC